TCTGAGAAGCTCGGTTACATCCAACTTGTTGAAATGGAAGAGTTTTCCCCTTTTTGTGTTCACTGTCAATCTATAGGACACGCTCGGGGGGAATGTCTGACTAAACTTGATGTCCCGTTAAATGTCCGTGTTATGCCTTCTTGTTATGTTAAGGTTTGTTTTATGAGGGGGAGACTGCTGGGATTGCTGAGCTTGGGTCTGGGGAAGTTTCCTTGGTTAATGTTTCTATAGTCAAGGATTTGGAGTTATTGATGGACCATACTGATGCTATTGTCGGGCGGGTTAATGCTGTTTTGATTGGGGAGGGTGTGTTTCCTTTACCTTTTGCTTGCTCTAAGGCTTCTAATGAACATTCTTCCTATATTAGGGATAATACTGATGCTGCTAATGCTTGTAGTCTTGTTGATATTGTTGTTGGGAGTGGTGCTACGAATGTTGTTGCAAATGTGGATAATTTAGTTGAGTTTCCCTATTCTCCGGATATTAATCCTATTATTTTGGATGTGCATATTCTCACGACTTCTTTTCATGGTTGTCCTCCCCCCATTACTGTAGATGGTTTGCCTTATATGTATGAGCCTTTGCCACATATTGTGGTTGACCCTCTGAATTGTGTTGTTACTGAATTTTTTGGAGGTGTTTCGAATTCATAAAGTTTGGGTAGGCCTAATGCTTTGAGTAATTGTGTTTTACAATGTGGTCTTTCTTCTAAGGATGTTTCTACTCCTATAGTTGTGGACTGTTCGAAGGAGAAGAATAATGATTTATGTGAGATTAATAGGGAAGTTGGGCATGAGTTGTCTAGTGGTTCGGTCCATATTTTTTTCCTTATACTCCCGTGGATTTGGCTGTGGTTGCTTGTGAAGTGGTACCTAGTGTTTCTTCTCATATTGTTCAATTGTATGGCCATCTTGTTGAGGTCCTAGTTAATTTAATTTCTACTAATGCTGTGGTTGCCCATGTGGGAGAAAGATCGGGGGATATTATTAGATTGCAAACTGATTGGCTTGAATACTCATCTCCCTCTTCTTCTGAGGTTGAAGAAGTGGAAGTTGTAGCTCAGAATGGTATTTTGCGAGATGATCACTTTTGGGTGGGTAAGCGTAGCAAGCGAAAATCCAAAAGATAACTCTTTTTGGGTGTGTTGCTGTGTTGGTGTTTTGTTTCTCCTTGGTTGGCAACTTGTAGCTTTTTCTGGATGAGTTCTTTTGTTGGCCCTGCGGATATTATTGTTTTTGTTTGGACTATGATGTGGATCGGGCAATTGGGCTCATCACTCTGGATCTGTGGCTAGTTGACAACCTTTGGTGGTGGTTCTTCTGAGCGATGCTTGCGGTTGGTTGGCTTTTAGGTGGATTATTGCTCATTCACTCCTCTGGATGGTCCGTGCCTGGAATCAGAGTGGTTGATAGCCTTTGTCAATACTGAGCATGGTGGCCTTTTATGCCTACTTATCTTCTCGATTGAACTCCCCATTGTTATCTTCTATTGTATTCAATTTCTTATTTCGATCATTCTGTTGGTTTTGGCCTTTGCTGTACTCCTTTTGTTTTTATGGAATAAAATCTTTATCTTAAAAAAAAAAAACAATTAGTAGTTTCCCACATGAAGGAAGTCAGCAACTTGACTAGTCATTAGAGCCAACTTCATAGATTGTATGTATTTGATAGGGTCAACTTGATTGGCCACACTTGCTTGCTTGTGATGAGTTCGTATATCGGATCTGCCTACTTGAATCGAGTTCATATGTTGCTTTTGAGCTAAAATCGAGTTGGCTGAGTTATATTAACTTGAACTAGGTCACATTGGCCTGAACCTAATGGTCTTGGCCTCAATCCAATTTTTTTTGGATATTACAAACAATTATTGGTACCAGCGAACTCTTTTTTAATTTATAAATAAAAGCTTAATTGGTTTCAAAATATTCATTCACATGATGAATTTGATAAAGTTAAAAAATATTTTTTTTATTCATACAAATAAACAAGTTATCTACTGTAAATTCGATAAAAATTTATAGGCAATTAACTAAGTTAATTTGATAAAAATATAGATGAGAATATATATTAGAATAAAAATGTAATATATATATATGTACATAAAGTTCTCAGTTATTCTCTCGTTTTATTCGATTAAAATTATTTACCTCAAAGATTATATATAATTAAGATGATCGAGCAAGTTTAAAAGATGAAGCCGAAATAATAATAAAATTTTGAAGATAAAAATATAAAATTATGTTCATAAGAAATATTTATAGAGATTAATCATATAAAAGAGCAGCTGAAAAGAAGGTCCCAACTGGGAAACAAACCAGCTTCGGAATAGCGCAGATGGGACCGCAGATCGCGCCAACAACCACTATGTGCTATTTCGTCGCATATCCATTCTTTTAATCATATAGCTTAAAACATCTTATAATCTAATGTTTATTTTAAAAGGGTTTTCGGGTCAATTATTAAAAGTAAAATCAAATACTAGCAAATAGGGGTGTCAATATTAAACCCGACCCGAACACGACCCAAAAATTGCGGGTTTGGGTTGACCCGAACTCGAAACGGGTTGGATTTAGGTTCAACAATTCGACTCATTTCAAAAATCAAGTCAGGTTCGGGTTGACCCAAAAACCCATATTTTAACCTGAAAAGCGGAGATTGGTCCATTTTTGGACCAAAAAACGAGCAGTTTTTTTTCGTCCCGGGTCATTCTGGTCGGATTGGGTTCAGGTCTGGAAAATCGACCCATTTGCAAAAATGGGTCGGGTTCTGGTTGACCTGAATAGTATCGGGTCAATTTCGGGTAACCTCAAACTTCTACCAGAGTGATTCGCATATAGGGGTATCAATATTTGACCTAACACAAAAATCCGACCCGAAAATTTGGGGTTGGACCCGACCCAATTTTGAAACAGGTCGGGTTCGAGTTGACCCGTCGGCTTTTATAAGGACGTAGTTCTTCTCGAGCGACAACGCCTCCTAAGTGGGGCCCAATCAAGTGCAAGCTTGGAGGTTTTTGAGGTGGGTGTCTCGTCTAGGTCAACCAAGAATTAGTCACGCCGCCAAGCGCCCTTTCGGGGGTGAGAACTGATGAATACCCCGTTCAAAAAAATATTTGTTTTAAGAAACAGTAGAAAAGCAGTCCCATACAAAATCTTAATGTTTAAAAATGCTCTCTATAATTTTGCTTCTTGCATTGTATAAAGTGTTTATGGTATTTCTTTAGAAGATAAGATATGTTCTATTATATAAAACGTATCAATCATTGAGGTGTAGTAAAAGTGATAGAACAGTCGGAATATTTCATAATAAAATCCTTTTTAGGAGTATATAAGATGCTTGTTGAAGGCATCACTGGTGGTTTCTTGCCAATCCTTACTAGCCTAATGCAGAAGCAAACGCATCCCAAACAAGATCATGCAACCCCCTAGTGTTGTCAAGGCTTTCTACGTTCAACTTCTAATTAAGTTGCATCACAAGCAATATTTAGGATTTCTCACTCGCCTAACAATAGTATACTCCTAAACATCTTTGACACTAGTCACTAGTATTAATTCGATCTCCTCTATAGTCCAAGAGAAATGAACCTAAAATAAGAAAAATGTAGATCAATTATTAAAAGTGAAATCAAATACTAGCAAATAGGGGTGTCAATATTAAACCCGACCTGAACACGACCCAAAAATTGCGGGTTTGGGTTGACCCGAACTCGAAACGGGTTGGGTTCAGGTTCAACAATTCGACCCATTTCAAAAATCAAGTCGGGTTCGGGTCCAAAACGGGTCATTCGGGTCGGGTCGGGTCGGGTCATTCGGGTCGGGTCGGGTTCGGGTCTGAAAAACTGACCCGTTTGCAAAAATGGTTCAGGTTCTGGTTGACCTGAATAGTATCGGGTCAATTTCGGGTAACCTCAAACTTCTACCATAAAGATTCGCATATAGGGGTGTCAATATTTGACCTAACACAAAAATCTAACATGAACCCGATTCGAAAATTTGGGGTTGGACCCGACCCGATTTTGAAACAGGTCAGGTTCGAGTTGACCCGTCGGGTTTCCGGGTCAACCCGAAAACCCTTTTAAAATGAGCTGATCGCGCTGCTCCAACCTGCCCGAGCCTACTCACACGCCCGCCCGAGCCTTCTCGTGCTTGCTCACGCACTAGCTCGAGCCTGCCTGAGCTTGCCCGCTGCTGCCAGCACCCACATGTGTTGCACCTGAAGCTGCCCTCGCCTGCCAGTGGCCGACCGCGTTGCGCCCGATTCTACCCGAGCCCCCTCGTGCCAGCGCCCGAGCACTCGCATCTGCCATCCCACTGTCGTCGTCTGGGTTAATCGTGTCAGGTCGGGTCAACCCGTCTAAACGATGGTTCGGGTTTAGATTTCCAACCCGTTTACATAACTGGGTTAGATTAGGGTGGTCAACATGTTTGAACCAATGTCAGTTCCGGTTTTGCCCTGAACCCAACCCGAAACCCAATTTGACACTCCTATTTATTTTTGTGTGTGTGCGCGCGCATGTATATATATATATATATATGCAACAATTACGTACAGTAGTAAGTAACGACTTGTACTAATTCCCATACTCAAAAGAGTAAATGCAAATTTAAAATCACGACTGAAGCGTTCTTTTATATAAAAACCTACACCAAGTGACTTTGACTCAGTGAGCTCAGTCAAGAGTGGTCCCGATTTTTAACATAAAGGTAAGAAAAATGAACCACTTGCAAAATCTACGTCTCCTTAATTATAAAAGCCCTTATTTCATTTATATTGTACGATAAATCTAATTAATTATCATTGCAAAAATCTAATTAAGTATCATGTTAATATATTATACTATCTATTACATATATATAGAAATTATTCAAAGAAAAAGAAAGACTTTCTTAATTTCTAATATATACTGAAAAATATGAGACTTTTAAAATGAAATGCATACATACACATACATAACCTATCAATCTCCAGTATCAGTCCTAGCTACATTTTACCAGCAGATAAATCGATCTCTAAGTCCTTATCTATCAGAAACTCTAAAACGTTTATCTATCTCGCTGTCTTTTAGGTTCTTAGCCCACATCTTTTTTTCTTCAACTTTCCAAGCTAGACCTTGCAGAGTTGTTCAGAAGCCAAGTAGTCCTTTTTCGCTTTCCCTTTCACTAATGTCAGCACAGCAGAAATAGAGCAGAAGACCTTCCCAATTCCCATCCATGCTTGTTGATGATGAGCATGCATATGGCCTCCTGCAATGGCTTGTCTTCTTCCTCTCCCTTCTTCCCACCAAATTTCATTCTCCAGATGCAGAGTACTAATTCCGAACATGACCACTTTCCACCTCCCCTTAATCCCCAAGACTTCTCATCTAGAGGGATGCCGGCGATGGTTGAGGCTTGTGAAGGGGAGGAAGATCTGTCCGATGACTGCTCTCAGCCTGGGGAGAAGAAGAGGAGGCTCAACATGGAGCAGGTGAGGACACTAGAGAAGAATTTTGAGCTTGGGAACAAACTGGAGCCTGAGAGGAAGATGCAGCTAGCCAGGGCTCTGGGTCTTCAGCCAAGACAGATTGCAATCTGGTTTCAGAACAGAAGAGCAAGGTGGAAGACAAAGCAACTTGAGAAGGATTATGATTTGCTCAAGAGACAGTTTGATGCTATCAAAGCAGACAATGATGTACTCCAGAATCAGAACAAGAAACTACAAGCTGAGGTGAATATTTATACATGTTAATAATTTTTTCTCCTTTAATGATTTGTTCTCAGTTGAGTCTTTTGAGGAGGATGTGGCCTCAAATTGATGTTAGCGGTTGCCTGAATAGGCAATCCATCCATCATGCTTTGAGTCTTTTGAGAAGTTAATTTGTCTCCCTGTAGATTGGCTAGCCTTCTAGCTTTCTTTTAATGATTGTCCTTACATGAACTCCTTTTAAATATATACTTTTTTTTTATTATTGCAGATGATTAACTTTTTATTACCCTTTTCCATTAAAAAAAAAAAGAAAAAACTTTCTTCTTTTCATTCGTTTGTTTCAGAGGGATTTTAATCTTTCAAGAAAACTCTTTATAGATTTCTTCAGTTCAGTAGTTACAGGCAATCAATCTATGATATTTACTATTGAATTCATTGATTCAAACTTGCAGATCCTGGCTCTGAAAGGAAGGGAAGCACCTGAACTAATCAATCTAAATAAAGAAACTGAAGGATCCTGCAGCAACAGAAGTGAGAATAGTTCTGAGATCAACTTAGACATCTCAAGAACATCGACCACAGCCACGGCGGCCACTGTCACCGCCGTCGTATCAGAGAGCCACCTAAATCATCCTATACAGAACATACCATTCTTCTCTGTAATCCGGCCTCCAGCAATCACCCAGCTCCTCCCAAGCTCATCAAGACCGGATCTCCAATGTACCAAGATCGAGCACGGCACCGTGGTCGCTGATGAGAACTTTAGCAATTTGCTGTGCGGTATGGATGAACAAAATGCTTTCTGGCCATGGCCCGATAATCATAATCTCCATTGATGGCGTTGAACATATATCTATATCTATATATTTATATTTATATATGCTTGCTTGGTGGATGTAATAGAAGAGAAGTGCCTGTTTGAAATTGCGTTGGAGCTGATCAATCAATAAGGAACTCAGAGAGAACAATGAAGAGTGCAAAATATGTTGGTATATCGAATATCTCCTATATCACTCCCTCCCAGCATATTTTCACTTCATCCCATAATATTGGTACTGAAGATGTGAAATAATACTACGTGTAAACCCGAGTTTTTTTAATATTTTTGTTAAATAGATCTTTTACTTTCAGTTATTTCATGCTTATATAGCCATTGAAGTAATTAAAAATCTCTATCAGTTTTGTGTGCCAATACTTTTTACTATAAATAAACATGAAATTATTGTCTTTCGTTTTTCTACTGGGTTGTTAGCACACTTTGCTAGCAAGAGATTCCTTTGAATTTATCTTTTGCTATTGGTTGGGGAGTCTGAATCAATGTAGTTGTAAATTGTACATCATTAGTCAAACATAATTAGTATGAACTCAGAAAATTCAAATATTTGGGTGGGGATTATTTATTTTATATTTCTAAAAAATAATTTCATGAAGAGGAGGATTGTCAAAGATGCCCGGTTGACCATTGCTGTTACTTATATCTATAGTCAGGAGAAAGAGAGAGCGAGGGAGAGAGAATATTATGGAGAGAGAGAGGAAGAAAGGAAGGGATCGAGGAGGGGATAAATACAGTGATGTGATTGTGATCCGAAGAACAGAGAGCGAGGTGAATGGGAATCGGGAGCTGTGAATGGTTTAGTCATATATAGAAATATTGGAATCTGACAAAGACTGCTTCAGGCACTCTCAAGTGGCGAAGACTATTCCTCCGTGGCCTCTTATACAAAAGTATTGCATTTGCTTTCAGGATAAAGGAGGACCATGCATGTGACCTTCTGTCACCCACTATGCATCTCGCTTCTTTATATCATAGATGATTAGAACTCCTGTGGGTGTAAATGAAATTTAAGTTATTTTGACTGTTATCAGGCTCATTTTATTGACCAAATGAAGAGATAGAATGGAACTAATTATATATCATTTATATGTTTTGATATGTCATTAAAAATCATCATAATCGGTACAAACTTCTAAAATTAATCTCAAGATTATATGAATTCTAATTTTAGCAAACTTATGATCAAACTAAACGTTTTGACGATATGAAACTATCAACATCAAGAGTGATATGATCCAAATTCGAATGACTCTATACCAACAACTTGAAATATAATTAAAATAATTGGTCATAGATTAATAATTATGGCCAATCAAATAAATTATAAATCTGCATGCACATGGCTAGCTAAATCAAGTGTCTAAATAAGACAAATCTAATTAGCCTAAGATTGACTCATTCTGATAGCATTCAGGTTTTGAAATGCTGAAAGAATGATATATAATCATGCAAATAATATTGGTTGTTTGATGAATTGTTCTAAATTTTGGTTATATTTACAAAGTATATCACGTTAAGAAATTATAAATATATTCATGAAGGGAGGTTGGACTTGAGATTCATGAAAACTCTATGGCTTGGAGAATCTTAGAGCTTCATCTAAACACCAGCATCAAAACCACCACCAAATAAGCATTGTTGGGCCATCAAAAGGCCAACCTCGTCAAACTATAGCCCTCCAGCCACTATCACCTACGTATGTTCTTTTAACCATTATGATCCAACTTTGGTCCTCAAACTAACATCACCTAGGGGTGCAAATAAGTCAAGACGAGATCTCACGAGCAAAATCCCGAGCTCGAACTCAAGTTAAGCTTAAAAGGCGAGCTCAACTCTTGTTACTAAAAAAAAGCTCCCAAGCAGCTTGCTAGCCTTCCGCGATCCGCCGATCTGCTTTTTGTCTTATGCAGTTCTCACACGCAGACACCTTTCGCAATTTTCCCGCACTTTTCCTTTCACCAGTTTGCCTTTTGCCTTCCACATTTAATCGAGCATCTCAACGAGTAATCGAGCCATACATCATCTAGATCAAACTCTAGCTCAATAATCCAACGAGCTCGAAATTATGCTCAAGCTTGAAAGTCAATAAGCTTGGCTTGCAAGCTCATTAGCGAGTCGAGATCGAGTCATCTTGACTCACTTACACCCCTTGCCATCATTCGATTAAGATCTTCTAATCAACATTTCCTAACAAAAGTTGCATTCGAACAATGTCACTAGAGTAAGACAATCCAACCACCTGTATTCGACCTATGTTTTCCTAACTATTGCTTATTAAGGCCCTCTAATGACCATCTCCCAACTATATTATCTTAACCACCTTCGCCTAATATCATCTATTGACCACCATCACTCAATTATAATCACACAACCACCATCACTCGACTACAATCCATCGACCATTATTAGCCATCTACAACCCAACAAATGCACCATTATACAACTCCAAATCACTTAATCACCATTTCTCGAATTTGATCCTTCAACCATTATTACCTGACTAGGATACCCCGATCATCATCTAACTTTAATCCTCTATCAATCATCACCCAATTATTATTGTCCAACCACTATCACCTAACTTTGGTCATTCAATCATCACGCTTGACTTCGATCTTTCTATGATCACCATCCCTTGAGTGTGATCCTCTAACCAGTGTCGACTGATAACAATCCTCAATCCACCATCATCTGACTATGGTCCTTTGAGACCTTGCCTAATTGTTGTCACCATACCTTCATTGTTGAACTTTTGTTACACAAACTCTATCATCAAACTATCATTGTCACCAAACATAGAACCACTATTGTCTGACCTTTGTCACCGATTGACCGCCATCACCATATTCACATCACTGAAGAACAAATGTTCAAATGCCTCTCATCCTATCTCAAATCTATGACACTTCTCACTATCAACTCATACTCTTGTAATTAGACCTTCTCCAATTGGAGGATAAGCAAATATTTATAATCAATGCTTAATTAATAAAATCATTTCAGCTAAGTTGAGCCCCAGGATTTTTCCTTTTTCATAGATTTTCCAAGTAAAAACTATGGTATCTAATTTGCATTTTTCATTTAATTATTTTGTGTTTTGGAAACTCTCACACTCTATTATATATGTATAATGATTTTTCTATGACACTACTACTCAAGCAAAATATTTGAAATTTGTGCATGTAAGTGACAACCGGCCGATCATTTTTTTTAATTAGTGATTTATTGATGTTGTGGATCGTCGGAAGAAACATATCTGCTAGAAGGAAACTCGAATATGGGGGAAAACACTAATCTTAAGAGCTTAAAAGGAGAATAAAATTCATCAATGCATCCATTCCTCTTACGCATTCCATATATATAATATTCAAGCAGAAAAAATCAAAAGAATCCTATAAGATTCTAGAAACTTGTAACAAACTAGATAAAATAACCTAAAGAATGTTTTAAGCTAAAATGCTTCAGATCATTCTCCTCTAGCATCAAAATAGCTCGACTCTGTCGAGGTACATATTTTATAAAAGAGAGATATATGTAAAAATTATAATCAATCCACCTGGGTCGAAGACTTTGCTTTTCTTTATGAGTGTTATTGATGCTAGATTGTACCGATTTAACTGTAGACCCAGTGACATAGTTATGGGAAACATCAAGCAGTTGCAACTTGTGCAAAGTGGCAAGTGAATTTGGAATGATGCTAGTGAGAGTATTGTAGCTCAAGATCACCTTTGTCAGCCAAAGTATATTGGCAATCTCCATGGAAAAAAAATCACTCAAGAAGCTGGTTTGTTAATTCATATTGGCAATGTCCTCTTACTTACTACAAATCTTACTAAACCATCCATTTTTTTGTGAACTCTTCATCAGTGAACACGTACTTCCAATAGGTTGACAAGAACGTACAGTTCAACAAAAGGTCATCTACAATGATAGCAACACTATCTTTATTTTGTCCCAAATCAGGAGCTCTTTCAAAATCTTTTGGTTGTACTGAATCTTTATGTAGATAAAGAAAATCGTAGTCGATGCATATAATGGTCTTAAATCTTGTTTCCCAATCAAATTTTGGTTGCTCATGTGGATCAAATAAGTATTTTGTAACATTGCTCTTAGGGAGACATTCATAAACAAGCATCATTTCATCATTTTCCAGAAAAAACAATTCAACAATCTAAAAAGGTTCTTGTGTTGAAGGTTGGCAACCAAAGCAACATCATTTTTCATTTTTACAAATCCTTGTGCTAAAAGTCATTTTAAAGCTATCAGTTGTCCATATTATAGTAATCCCTTAACAAATTTATGATATGATTCTTCAGTGGGATTTCATCGAATAGCTTGGGAGCGTTACATTGGATCATCCTTGTCAGTGGAATTTAAACCTGACATTTTCACACCTGCAGTAAAATCATTCCCAATACCAATTCCAACGTCTTTGCCACAAACTTTCATATTATTTGTATTTATTTTAGCAACGCTAAGGTTATGAAGATCATCACATACCTCCATAAAATGGGCCTTAGAGGAAGTTACATTGTCCATCGAATCCAATGGATAGGTGTAATCTATATCTTCATTCCCAGGAGAGAATCTATCATCACTACCTTCATCCTCTCGATAAGTCTTTTTTGTAGTAGGAGTCGGCCTAGATGGGAAAGCTTGTGGTAGAGCAGGGTTGCTCGACGGCGAGGGCGAAGAGATTGCGGGTGACAGCGGCAAAGAACTAGGAAGGGTTGGGGAGAGGGTTAGAAGTAGGAAGAAGAGTGGCTACCGGGATTGGCGGTGGAGAACATATAGGAGGATCGGATGGAACTGACAACGTGAGTTGCGTTGAATTGCAGGAGGAAGCTGAGGGGAAGGCGGAGTCGGGCTATGGGAGATCGATTTGGACACAAGCTGTGGAATCGTGTTTGATGCTAGTCATGGAATCGTGGTTATATTCGCGTGTCGGAGACAGTCGGGCGAGTGCAGAATTAAGTTTTGATATAAGACTAGGAGGAGAGAGCGAGTGCGAGTAGATGTCCGATGATAGTTTGTTTGCCAAAATGCATATTTGTTTTATAGAACAATTGAAATTAGCAAATAAAGCATTCATTCCGTCAAGTGATGCATTCACTTGAGCTGCTCGAAGGGCTTCGCGGCATCGCTCTTCATCGACTATCCATCTTCTTTAGCTTCGATCATCAATGACAACCCACCTTCTTCTGCAGTCCATCGTTCTTCGCAAGCTCTAAGTTCTCATACCCACTGATGTAGTGGATCGTCGGAAGAAACAGACTTGCTAGAAGAAAGTCCCAATTAGGGGAC